GGCCACTGCACTCCAGTCTGGGCGACAGAGTGAGACTCCAACTCAAAAAAACAAAAAAGCCCACAAGAGCCAAGAAGCCACTCACAGGAAGGGACCCGGCACCCACCACTCAAGCTTCCACAGGCCATGGCCCTGTACACATGCACCTGGCGGAGGGATGCGCAGCCCTGGACCCTGCCATCACACCCTGGGTACGTCCACTGTGACGGAGACCTCACTGAGTCACAAAGAGGCAAATAAAAGGGATAATCACACAGAAACTGGCTCTTGCAGACGTCTAGAGAGTTCCAGGACTCAGGAGGAGACCCCCGGGCCGGTGGCGCGTGGGAAAGCCCTCATCCTTGAAGCTCTGATGCTTTGCTAAAACCTCCAGCAAGGGCTCCCCTCGGGACGATGCCTCGACATTTGCAATTGCACATACAAAATTCCCTTTTCATCCACAAATCATGTATTCAGAGAACACCTCTTTGAACACCAGGTCCCTGACGAGGGTCCTCAAATAAAGCAAGCCATAAATGCCTGTCATTTCCCATCAGCAGGTGGAAATCCACTCTTCCAGCCATCGAAGCAGCCATCTCCAGAGCCTGTGCCTGTGGCAGAAGGGAAGGTCAAGCAGACCTCACCGGGCAGGCAGGGGCTCAGGACTTCCCAACACTTTGGGAAGATAGCTGGGAGGATCACTGGAGCCCAGGAGTTTGAGACTAGCCTGGGCAACATAGTGAGACCCCCATCTCTACAAAATAAGTAAGTTAGGTAGGCATGGTGGCTTGTGCCCATAGTCCCAACTACTCAGGAGGCTAAGCAGGAGGATCACTTGAGCCTAGGAGGTCGAGGGTCGAGGCTACAGTGAGCCAGGATCAAATCACTGCACTCCTGCCCAGGCGACACAGTAAGACCTTGTCTCAAAATAAATTTTAAACAGTAAAAAAAGAAGTCATCGTAGTCCTGACACCACGGGGTTAAAAGGAGTCACCATGGACCTGCTGGGCTCCGAGAGGCATGTGACATCTGCATCACTCTGTACCCAAGTCCGCTAGAAAGCCACCAACAAGCTGCAGCCCCCCCAGGGCCTTTGCACTTGCCAGTCTCAGTTTTCCCTCACGTCGTCAGCCGGGCTTTCTCAGCACACCTGCCATGTAATGCTTCCTGAGACACAGGGACACTTCCCAGGGTTGTCTGCCATGATTCTGTAGTTAGGGTCACCTCTGGGGAAACCACCCCCTCTTTGCCCAACACCTGCCTGGAATCAGAGCCAGCTCTGCTTGTCTTGGGTGTGGCCTGGGCTCAAGCTCGGAGCACCCAGCAACCCCGTAGGTTCTAACGTCGGCCCATTCTCAGATGAAGAACCAGAGGGCAGGAAGTAGCTCAGGGTTCCCCGGCAGGAAAGGCAGGGCCAGGGTCATCTACGCTCTGATGCTCCCCCATCCACCTTGATTGACAAGCCCATCCTCACCTAGACTGGTGGGGGGAGAACAGAGCTATCCTGCTGCTGCACCCGTCCCCATGTTCAAACTTGGTTGCTGCACCCCTCCACCCGTTTGTAACACAACCCAGCCTGCACCTGCCGGACACGCAGAAAAAATCTGCCTGCCGCTAAGCCGGCCGCCCAGCCAGCCCGTCTGGGCTAGCAGGACTGAAGAAGGCGACCACTCACCTTTCCGAAGTCTCGGACATCGAAGAGGTCGAAGGGGTCGAACAACTCGCTGTTTCTTAATCCAAATTTGTCGTGGCAGACTTTCAGGAAGGTGCGTATGTTCTTCAGACACAGGAACTAGAAACGAGAAGGAAAAGGGCATTAAACCTGCAGGGTCAGTCGGGCTCGGTGGCTCAGCCTGTCATCCCAGCGCTTTGGGAGGCCGAGGCGAGTAGACTGCCTGAGCCCCCGTGTTCAAGACCCACCCAGACAACTTGGCGAGACTTCATCTCTACAATAAATCAAAAACTATTCGGGCCTGTCGTTCCAGCTACTTGGAAGGCTGAGGCAGAGGGATCGCCGGAGCCCAGCAGGATGAGGCTGCGGTGACTGGGAGCATGATGCCACTGCACTCCGGTCTGGGAAACACAGTGAGACTCCAATTCAAAAAAAAAACTGCAGGGTCTGTGAAAATCATCACTGCAGTTTTGGCTTCCCACACCAGCACGTTACAGCACGTTTCTGTTGTCAAGGAGGAAATGGGCTCAGAGGGTGGAAGGCACCCCCAGTCCCAAGGCAGGGGTGGGGGGGAGGCGGCACCCCGCCTCCATGTCTAAGTGTGCAGCCCTGGCTGCCCTGTCACAAGGCTGCTAAACCCATCAAGGTCTTCACACGAGAAAAATGCACCATGCCCCTCCCGACGGGGCCCCATGTCAGGGCGCAGCTGACTCACCTCAGCCCCTTCGGGTCGGGCCAACCCCCCCCATTTCCTGGTGGGTCCAGCACATTCCAAGGCTGTCAATCACGGCTAGTGCAAAACATGCTGGCCTTGGGTGGTGGCTTGGACTGGTCCACACATCAGGATGGCAACTGACTCACCTCGGTCCTTCAGGATGGGCCAAACCACCCCCCGCCCCCAAGTGGATCCAGTACATTTCAAGGCAGTCATTCATGGCTAGAGCAAAGCATGCTGGTCCAGAGTCAACAACGGTGGTTTGGGCCAGGCATGGTGGCTCACACCTGGATCAAGTCACTCCCAGCACTTTGGGAGGCCAAGGCGGGAGGACGGCTTGAGGCCAGGAGTTCAAGACCAGCCTGGGCCACAGGCGAGACCTTGTCTCTACAAAAAAAATAGCTAGCTGGGCATGGTGGCGTGCACCTGTAGTCCCAGCTACGTGGGAGGCTGAGGCAAGAGGATCACTTGAGTCTAGAAGTTGGAGGATGCAGTGAGCTATAATCACATCACTGCACTCCAGCCTGGGCAACAGAGCAAGAACCTGTCTCTTAAATAAAAGCAAGAGAGAGACAGACGTGGAGACAGAGCCACAGAGAGTGCATGTGACAGGGGAGCCAGAAACTGGAAGGCATGCCATTTCAGAAGGCCAGGACGGCCAGCAGCCACCAGAAGCTGGAGCGGGCGTGGCACGGATCCTCCCACAGGGTACCAGAGAAGGAGCCATTGCTGCTGATGCCTGATCCAGACGTCGTCTGATCTCCAGGGCTGTGAGACAGCAATTTGCTGTAGCTCTAAGCCCCCAAGTCCACAGCACTCTCTTAAGCCAGTCCCAGAAAACTCTAACTCGGTCCCCCTGAAAACTGGGGTTGGTGGGAGGGTCTGAACCCCGGAGTCCCCAGTCCCCACCCCCAGCCCCGCCCTCCCGTCCGTCTGCTCTCTCTGCGGGATACGCTGTGGCTCCCGGCCGGGATCCACTATTTTCTGCGCAGGGCCCGTCTCTAATTTCCACTAAGCCTGTATTTTCATGCCTCCGCAGCCTCCTATTTTAGAGTTAATTACACAGGGCCTGACCATAATCATAGCGGCCAGGCTCAGCCCGGACCCGGCAGCCCTTGCCTGTGGCCGGCATCTGCCCCTTCAGGCCCCGCCCCTGGCCGCCTGGGCCCATGCGACCTTCGAGAACCCCTCCCCAGGCATCCCAGGCCAGCCTCTGGAAAGCTGAGCCACACAGGCAGAGGCAGGCCTCGGGGCGGGGACGATGGAGACATGGGGACCGAGAGCCTGGATGTGTTCTGCCCGCTGGACGTGCTCATGCCTCGTTATTCTACAAGTCATGCGACCCCATTCTGCATGAAGGAAAACTGAGGCACAGGGCATTTAGGACTTCAGTACCCAACAGAAGGCAGCAGAGCCAAGAATGAACCCAGGCTGGCCCCACGGAAAAGGAGCCCTAGAGGACGCTCTGTAACCAGGGGCATGTCCCCCTTGCTGTCCCCTTGCACTTGGTAACAAGCGTCTCTCCTCTAACAAGCGGTCCAGTCTGAATAAGGTTGATGGTCACTCCAGGGCTAGTCGGAGCGTCCCGGTCCCACACCACGGGGGCGGGGTTAGTTTCTAGAAAGAGACACCTGCAGATTTGACGGTGAGAGGACACAGGGCCAAAGCCGCTTCCGGCCCATGAGACCCATCAGGGACACAGACCCAAGGAAGGCAGGTGCGGGAGACCCAGATGGCAGTCCGTGCCAGCCAGAGGTTCCCTGTCCTTGCCCACACCAGTGAGGCTGGGGTTTGCTGTCGCCTACGGCCAACGGAGGTCCCATGGCCAGCGGGTCCCCGGAACTGCCGGGGCAAGCACGTTCTCTCTCATCAGTCTTCAGGACCCCCAGGGTGGCCACGGCTCCCAGCACCCTCACGCACACTCCGCTCATCCTCAGGACTGAGGCCTTAGGGTGACGCGCTGGCCAGGTGCTCCAGGAGGCAGGCGCTGAGGCCGTTTGCTCTCCCTGGTCCCAAACACCCCAGGCAACGCCTAGGCCATCACGGGGCCCAATATCCGGCAAGCAAGCAAACGGAAGAAGAATGCATGAGTGAATGGCCACGATAAGGGCCTGAAGCCGGGAAAGCAGCCCAGTGGCAAGGGGCCCAGCTCTCCCCCATGATGGTGATCCCAGAAGCCCGCTGTGCCTCGCCTGGGACCACCCGAGGGGGCGTGGCCACCCCGGCTCCCCGCGGCCCCGGATGCAGGGAGGGCTCCCGCCCCCCAGGCTCCAGGCCGCCCCGTCCGGGCAGCAGGCAGCGCGCACTGGACAGGTCAGCCTCTCCCCGCTCCCTGCCCCCGGCCACTCATCAGCCACCCTTGATCTAATCGGGGCTGAAATCCGATTAGCATGAGGATGGGGGCTCCGTGGCCAGCCGCCCAGCTCTGGCACGGCCCCAGGCCACGCTCACTGTCATCTGTCCTTCCGCTCCCGCAAGGCCCCGGGGTGGGGGTCATGAACAAGAGAGGCAGAGGGTCGAGTCTGAGTGCCAGGCCCCCATGTCTGAGCCAAGAGCAAGGCCCAAATGCACGCTGGAGAGGAAGCTTCACTGGGCAAGCTCTCACGGCCACACCGTGGTCACTTGTCCTCCGTGGCTTTTTTTTCCAGACAGGGTCAGGCTGGAGCCTGATCATGGCTCCTAGGCTCAGGTGATCCTTCTGCCTCAGCCTCCTGAGTAGCAGGGATTCACAGGTGTGCACCATCACACCTGGCTAATTTCTTAATTATTATTATTATTTTTTTTTTTAGAGACAGGAGCCTCACTACGTTGCCCAGGCTAGTCTCCAACTTCTGGGCTCAGGCATCCCTCTGCCTCAGACTCCCGAGTAGCTGGGGCTTACAGGTGTGCACTACCAAGCCCAGCTAAATTTTTTTACTTTTTGTAGAGACAACGCCTCGCTATGTTGCCCAGGCTCGTCTAAACTCCTGGGCTCAAGCAGTCCTCCCGCCTTGGCCTCCCAGAGTGCTGGGATGACAGGCGTGAGCCACCACACCCGGCCTGCGACCTTCTTTTAAAATCTCTGAATCTGAGGGAGGCGGTGTCTCCATATTCGACTTTCAGGCTCTACACCAAACGTTCCAAAAGGTGCCCACGAACACGGTGGGTTTCCTCTAAATCCTTCGGCAAGAGGCACCGACGCTGCACTTGACAATCGCTGCCCCGCCCCCCCGGCGAGGCATCAACTCCTCAGGCCGTGCTGCCAAGCTGCACGATCAGAGGCTCTGACTGGCGGCTGCAGATATCTTTGATCAATTAAAAATGGGAAGATGAATTAATTTCCTGTTTTATGTACGCCAAGCTCATTCCAAAAATCATTTAAAACAGACTGATCATTGTTTAATAGACGTGGCTTGCTGGAAGGGATCAAATTTGGGGCCCATCAGGTAGATAAACGGGTAGCCTTGGGGTGACAAGCTGGCCAGGACCACAGGGCAGGAGCTGAGGCTGTCTGCTCCCTCTGGGCCTCAAATACCCCAGGCAATGCATAGGCCATAGCAGGGGTTCAATAACAAAGGAAAGAACGAATCAATCAATCAATCAATCAATCAATCAACCAACGAACAAAACAAATGTCTACAAAGCAGTCCCAGGTGTCCCCCACTCCTACAGCCCTGCTTTTCCCCCAAAAGGCAACAACTCCACGATGTCTTCGGAGGCCATCTGAGCCCCCCAAAACAGTGGCCACTGCTTGAGTGACAAACCCTCACTTCCAGAAGCATCTCTTCCAGAAACAAGCAGGCAGGTGGACCCCAAGGTCTAGCCACGACCATTTGTTCCTGCACACACCAGCATCGCCTGCGTGCCTCTGCCCACCAGCCCCGCAGAGGTCCCTTCACTGGCCAAATTTAATAACCACTATGTGATGGGGGATCTTTTATCATCCGTTTTACTGGTGAGGAAACTGAGACTCCGGAAGGTCCAGATCTGGATTGGAACTGGTCTGCCCAACACCACAGCCCATGTGGTCACCTGTGAGGCTTCCCAGGCCGTGCCCAGGGCCCCAGCATGGAGCCCAAGGAGATGCCGCAGTGGCGCTGGCGCGGTTCCCACAGGAGGATTCTGACGCCACTCCGGGTGGGGAAGCGTGGCGCAGGCAGGGTTAAGGGAGGAGCATCGGGATTCGATTATGTCTGGACGATTTAACACGAACGCTTCCTCCGCTCAGGCCCGTTTCCTCGGCTGGGCATGCACCAGGGACCAGGCACCAGCGCCACCCGTGGAGACCCGAGTTCGGCTGTCTCTATGCGAGGCCTGGAGCAGGTCTCTCCCTGGGCCCGGCAGGGAAGCGGAACTGTCACCCTGCCACGATCGGGAGGGAGGGCGGCGTAGCCTTTGCACACCCAGGGTCCAGCCTCGCCCCAGA